ATCTGATGCCCTCTTCTGGTTTCCACAGACATGGGTGCACTTATATACACGCAGGCAAAACACTTATACATGTAAAATAAAAAAGATTTAAAATAAAATACAAAACTAAAATAAAATATAGCTCTTACCTAATCATCCTTTATTTTGATCAGTTTCCTGGGGCAGTAGAGAGAAGCCTTCTGGTCATGTGGAAATATATTAAGGCCAAATCTTTTGATGTTCTTTTCCACAGACTTCAGCTAAACAAAGCTTCCAATTCCAGGGTGAGCCCAAGTTTGAGTTGTTGACCTTTGCAGGAATGAAAGCAGCTGACATTTGGCTACATTGCCAAGGCCAGTGTAGCTGGTATCTGATGCCCAACCAAGGTTTAATGAATGTCAAGATAAATGGATCCTCCAAATTCTGTCCCATCATTAACATCTGTGTAGCAGGAAAGTCCCCCTCCTGCAGCCACTGCAAAAGAATTCCTTGCCAGCTTCGATTTGGCACTGTCAAAGTTCATCTGTTTGCCAGCAAGCCAGCACTCATATCCACAGACAGCTGAGCCATGGACTGCAGGTTCGGCATCTCTGAAGTCAACATCGCAACCAAAGTTTACACATACCCTCTGGTAAGGACCTGGCCATTAGCTCGTCACCATGCCTGGTGATTAAGTTTTTATATAAGGACTTAACTTTAAAAAATATATATTGTATGCCAGGTGTGATGGCACATGCCTTTAATCCCAGCACTCGGGAGGCAGAGGCAGGTGGATCTCTGTGAGTTCAAGGCCAGCCTGATCTACATAATGAGTTCCAGGGCAGCTGGGGTTACAGGGGGACCTTGTCTCAAAAAAACATATATAAAAAAAAGTTAAATATATATTTAGTTGCCAGTTGCAGTGATCATGCTCTTAATTCCAGCACTCAGGAGGATCTCTGTGAATTCAAGGCTAGCCAAGGCTACATAAACCTGTCTGGGGAAAAGAAAAAAAGTTATATAAATTATAGATATATATGTTTTCAGAGGACCTGGGTTCAATTCTCAGCACCCACATGGTGGTTTGCAACTGTCTGTAATTCCAGTTCTAGGGAATCTGATGCTGTCTTCTGGCCTCCTCAGTCACCAGGCATGCACATGCTCTTACATACATGTAGGCAAAACACTCATACACATTTAAAAAAGAACAAATTTTAAAGAAATAGTCACTATGAAAAATCTATTATGAAACCTGACATGTGGTAAGCTAATTAAAAAATAAAATAAAGCATTTGAACAGAAGTACCTTGTATGGGTGGATAAAGTTTGTACCCAAAGCTATAAGTTATTGAATGGCAATCTCAGTGCCAGGAGTGAGCTACCTCCCTGAGTTGTTAGGGAGACCCCTGAGGCCCTCAAAACAATATAGACAATTGAAGTTTTCTGCATAGGATGGAATCCATGTCTGGTACTACAGACCTAGTCAAAAGCCCATACCTAAGAAGCTCATAGGCCCTACTGCTAAATGGACATGATTTAACTATCAAATTGCCTTCTAAATGATTATGACTATAAATCAGCAGTGCTGTCAGCTTTGGTCAGAGAAGCATCTTTATGTGGTGGGCAGTGATAATGCAGACATAACTGGTAAAAGTGAGAATAAGTGACTGTTGAATGCTCATCCCTAAATAGGACATCTGTATCAACCCCTTCAAGGCTTAGCAGGGAACATCATAGAAGAGAGGGCAGAAAGAATTTAAGAGCGAGAAGATTCAGTGCTCTGAAACGTATTCTGAGCATGATGTGGCTGTGGCACTCTTGAACTCACAGGAGCTGTGATTACCTACACAAAACCTGTTTTAAGACTGGGTCCATTAATATGCTGTCATGGAGGTGGGGGGGGTTTCATGAGGTCCCATCCCTCCCTGACAATTAAAAAATATTTATTTTTATTTTATGTGTATGAGTGTATTTTCCACATGTATATAAGTGCTTCTGTGTCATGCAATGCCTGTGGAGGTCTTCAGAAGAGGTTGTCAGATCCCCTGGAACTGGACTTATGGATGGCTGTTGGCCACCATGTGAGTGCTGGGAACTGAACCCGGGTACTCTACAAGAGCAACCAGAGCTTGTAACACCTAAGCCATCTCTCCAACTTCACTCCCTGACAATTTACAGTTAATGGTTGCCAGCAGAGGGAGAGACATTTTCTTCAGTGGTGTAGACACTGGTAATGTGTCCATGCTCCTGTAAATATCCTCTGACCCAGACTCCTAAGCAACCCTGATGAAATTCACTAGGAACCAAAAAAAGTAAAAATGAAAGCCATGAAAGCACAAGAGAACTAGTTTTGAAGAGGAGGAAGATGAGTTCGAGTGGGAAGGACTAGAGAGTAACTATCCAATTGGGTAACGGGGATGAACATGGTCAAAATACATTATGTTCATATACAAAGATTCAATGAAGGGGCTGGAGAGAGCTCAGCAATTAAGAGCACTGGCTGCTCTTGTAGGGGTCCTGGGTTTGATTCCCAACACACAGCAGCTAACCACCATTCATTCCTCCAGTTCCAGGGGATCAACTCTCTTCTGACCTCTGCGGGCACTGTACGACATGGGTGCATTTACACACATGCAAGCAATACACTCATATACATAAAAATAATAAAAATTTTAAAAATGCAATGAAACGTATAATTATTGTATGTATAATATATGCTAATAAACATTTAAAAGTCACTCCACTTGCCAGTTGTACACACAATTTAAGCTCCACCAGGTGTTATCTCTGCTGAATCAATGCTTTAAGGGAGGAGAAAATTCCTTTATCAGGATGAATGCCATTAAAAATCCTGCTTCCATCCAGGAAGCAAATGTAAAAGCAATGTGTACACTCATATCCAGAAATGAAGCAAGACGGTTAGAAATAGTTTTGGCTCAGGTGGACATGTGAAAACCATCTGTGCTCCGGAAGGAAGAGGAGGGCAGTGGGGTATTACTCAGCAGCTCATACATATCCCTGAAGTTCAGCCCCAGATGGAGCTTAGGGGGAACAATTCTTCAAGTAGCAGTAGCAGAGGAGGCATAAGATGAGGAAGACACAGTGACCATGGATCTTTGCAAAACTTTTACATGCATCACTTTGAACTTCAAACTTCCCTCGTAAATCCCATACTGGGAAAACATTACCCTAACAGTTCCAGGCTTTTAGGAAGCATTTTGCCCAGGTCACACTATCCTTTGAAGTCTCTCTAACCACCAAGGACACCCTTGAGTTCACCTGCACAGCTGCCCACATGGACCAGGGAGCTGAGGGAGATCCCTTTCATCTGGGTGAAGGGGTCTAGTCCTTCAGTGATCAACTCAGCTAACAGACAAAACAGAAATTTCTGAGGTGGTTGCCTAGGGGAATATCCACATCTCCAGCAGAAAAATTCCCACAGTACAATAGGAAATGCCTCACAACTATCACAAAGCATTTGTTTTTTCAATGCACTCTCAGTTTGTAAGAATGTTTATTAAACAACTGGAAAGATTTCTTGTCTTAAAAATATAATAAAACCGCCAACAAAACCCCACAAAGGCAGCCCTTACTTTTCCTAATAGGGTGCCCTGGGCTTCTCATAACTCTGGAGTTTATGATGTAGCCCAGGCTAGCTTTGCACTCAAGATCCTCCTAGTTCGGCCTCCCTAGTTCTGTGATTACAGGTGCCACGGCAGAGTCTCATTGTCCGTTTTTTTTTTTTTTTTGGTCTAGGACAGGATCTCACTGAGCCTAGTATGGCCTTGAAGGTTATGCAGCCAAGGCTGACTTGAACTCCAGACCCTCTTGCCTCCATCTCCGAAGCGCTGGGACCTCAGCCCCGTGTCACCACTCCTGCCCCCCCCCCATGTGGTTCCCTGACTTCCACACTTTTTTGAATCTTAACAGTCTACCTAGGACTACAGTTTTAAAACCATCCTTACAGGCCAGACTGAGCTGTTAATACCACATGTCATCAGCAGATGTCGCAGTCCCAACACGTGAGAAAGCTAACTTCCAAAATTACTAGCCATAGGGCAGCCGCTGAGTGCCTGTTGTGTTCTTACAAAGCAGTATGCCCGGGGCTTCAATCAACCCCCGCACAGTGAGGGTTAAATGTGTTAATCATGTAGGATGCATTGAACATTGTCTAGATCGTGAAGTTATTACCAGGCAGCCAAGAGGTGGCAGAGACTGGTCAGTGAGTCCCAGCGGGGCAGTCTGAGAGCTTGCTTTCCATCCTGTTGGGAGGTCTGTCCATTTTTCAGCTCCCTGCCTCTAAGGGGCTGCTATGCACCCTGGCCTGGGATCTGCTCTCCTCCCCTGGGCAAAATGGTGGTGGGCGTTGGGCAGAGTCATAGCTGGGGTGGGCCCAGATTGGCGCGGCCACATGCTCTGCTTCCTGCAGGAACTTCTAGAAGGGATGCAGCTCAGGGGGTGGCACCGGCTGGATGCAAAGGTTCGCGATCCTACAGCCTTAAGTCAACAAGTTTCCTCCTTGGCCCTCCGGCGTGCGCCACACCTCTCACTCTCCCATCACCCCTCACCCCGGGTCCTGAGCGCGCTTCCTGGCCGGGCACAGGCAAGAGACACTTAGGTCCTGCTCCCGCGCACCTGGGCAACGGGTCGCACCTGCCCGGGGCTCCTGGAGCGTGGGATCCGCGGACGCGGGCACCCCGCAGCCAGCACGGGGCTCCTCCCAGTGCGCGCGCGTCGGGGGCGCCAGGACGCCACGTACAGGGGCTCTGGGGCGCGCAGGTGTTCCGGGCACGGTGCGCAAGGCGGGCTGCAGCGGGCTCCGCCCCCGGCCGCACGTTCGCCCCTCCCTCCCCACGCCCGGCGCAGCCTCCGCGCCTGGGCTGGGACTCCGCAAGGCGGGCACCGCAAGGCGGCGCGCGGGTCTCCACGGAGGCCGAGGGGCGGGGCGCGCTCATTGTTCCTCCCCTTCCCCAGCCCGGGCGGGGCGCGGGGCCGCCGGAGCCGCCGAACGTGAGCTCGCGCCCCGCCTTTGTCTCCCGGGCGCCTCGCCGCAGCCCCGCGCCCTCCGCCGCCGCCGCCGCTGCCGGACCCGCTTTGTGCCGCGGGGCGGGCGGCCGCGGCCTCAGCATGGACGTGACGGTGTCGGAGCTCATGGAGCAGTTCCTGCAGAGCCCGCTGGTGACCTGGGTGAGCGCGCCCTCTTCCCCCTGCGCGTCGTGGCTGCACCCGCTTCTCTCGTGCCGGGCCCGGGTGACCCCCGGACGCGGGAGACTCAGCAGGTGGCTCGGGGTCCGGGTCGTGCAGGCTTCCGACTCCGGAGCCCGTGCCGACCCCTCCGCGCTCCCCGGCTGGGCCAGGGGCGGAGCGCGTACACCTGTTCCAGCCGCCGACAGTCGCGGCGGGGAGGGCACCCCCAGACGCAGAACGCCAACCACCTTGGAGAAGGACCCTAGTCCCCGGGAGCATTGTCCGGAGACCAGCCTATGGATGGCGGCGACGGGTGGGAATTGGGGGGCGCCGAGTGGGAACGGGAAGCAACGGGCTGGGCGCACTGCCTTCCAGTGGAACTGAGACGTGAGAAATTTATTGAGAAGTCCCCTTTATTTATTTGTTTATTTATTGACCGCACTGGGATGTTGGAGAAAAGTGGCCAGAAGTTTTTAGCCTCCTGCCTCGCATCTGTTGCCTGGCGCAGCAGGGGACAGCGGTCCCTGGAGAAGGGTGAGCTGGATGCCTGCTGAGATCGCAGAGGTCATGAATGAGTGCCGCCCCCGCCCTCGCGGCCCCAGCTCATTTGCTCCTTTAGACCGTTGGTGGCCCTGGGTGACTTCCTGCCTTTACCTCCCCCTCAGGTGAAAACTTTTGGTCCGTTTGGAAGCGGCAACCAGGACAACTTGACTCTCTACATGGATTTGGTGGATGGCATCTTTTTGAACCAAATCATGTTGCAAATGTAAGTTGCCTCTTCAGAGAGGAAGGATGTTTTAGAAAGCTAAAGATTGTAGTCTGAGTGGCCCAGGAACGATTCCCTGCAGGTGGGGACGCTGGAATCTCCCTGGCAGCTTGTTTGATAAAAGAAATTTGGAATTGACTTTCAGCTGTGTGGTGTATATAATGCAGTTGACTTCGAATCCAAGGACTTGTGGTCTAAAGCATTGACATGAAAATGCCCCCTTTCTTTTGGGGGAGCAGAGAACTGTAACCAGTGTCTGATTATAGGAAATGTCAGGTAAGTCTGGAGTATTGGAGGGTGACTGTAAAGTTTCACCATAAGGTAGGGATCCTTACTTGTTTTCTTACGGTTCCTTTTCCAGTCGGCTGCAGCAAGTGCAATCCATTAAGCCACCTTGTGTCCAGTGGGTTAGTCTCAGAAGGTACACAGGCAAGCATATGCTGGGATCTTGTTTGTTTGGAAGTGTGTGTCTTAAGCAGGGTCTTGGAAGAAATTACTTGCTCTTGTGTACCTCAGACCACATCCGTTTTGTTGCTGAGTTCTGCACAGCCTGTCTGTGATAGACAGCTTGCCACCGAGTAGGGGTTGGTCCCTAGCTCCTTTCTGTTTTTAACTCAGAAACAGCAAGGAGCATATTGGAACTGTCGGTATGAATCACAGGCCCTTGAAGCAAAATAAAACATCCTGGTGTTCTCTGTGGATCACCCCTTACATTCACCTCGAACTGAGACACTCAGTTCACACTCTAGCATCATTCATAAACTAATGAGAAACAATTTCACTTGTAGCCAGGGAGGGAGGCACACCCTGCTTTGGCATATTTAGAAATGGTTTAAATAGATTGTACCCAAAAAGGTTGGTTAAAAAAAAAAAATACCAGTTCCTTTTGTTTTCATAGGACATTTGATGTCATGGTGGTAGAGACTCTGACACCTAAATTTTTTTTTTTTAAAGCTCTCCAACCTCCAGTGTTTGACTAGATTCTAAAGAGACAAATCTGTTGTTGGATTTGGCAGAGCTTCTCAAAGGACGTTAATGGAAATGAGTTTTTCTAGGGTTGCCTCCTGATAGGTTTGGGCTTTGGCAATTTCTCCTCCCATTCTACCAGACCCTCCAAATTACTGGGTTCCATTGGTGTAAGGACCAGTAAAACCTAAGCCTGTCTGCGGAAGCCTGAGACTGTTTAATTAAAAAAACTCAGCAGTGTCCCCCAGTCTTTTCACTCCGTTTTTACACCCAGGCGAAGGGAAGAACAAAAGCCCAGGGACTGTTTCTCTTTCTTCCCTGACCTTTGGAATTCCTGAAGCAGTTACCACTTGCTTGTAAATTAGGGAAGCCTGATGCGCCGCTCCTTTGAGAAATACTAGCTCATTGCTCGTTTGAATTTGGTCCCTAAATTCTGTTGAAGGGTGCCTGCTCCTCTCTTTGGTAGTTTTCAATGTTGTTTTCTCCTCCGGGGTATGTTAGCGAGATCATTCTGGAAGAAGGAGCTGGTAAGTATGCAACAGTACTGGGGCAGCCACAGAGGAAGGTTCCACAGGGAGATGGGGAGAGGCTTTCCTGGACTAGGAAAGAGAGAGAGGTGGGTGGGCACAGGACCAAGAAAGACAGAGGTGGGTGGGCACAGCACCACCTGCCATTTGTGGTTTGTTGCTTTGGGGAATATGCCCCCCCCACACACACACCTGGTAACAGGAGTCAGAACCTGTTTCCCTCTGGAAGTGGGTGGGGACTGACTTCAAAAGGGGCTATGGAAATGCTCTGTATCTCTCTTTCCCAAACTTGTGATGCTCATGTTTCACTCCTTGTAAAAGTTAACTTGATTTAAAAAACAAGCAGGGCCCCAGGTGTGACTTGCTGGTAGTGCTTGTTCAGGGTCCTGGGTTCCATCCCTGGCACAGCAGAAAGTAGATGACTAAAGGACCCATGTGAGTTATTTGCTGGGTGAGTGGTACACACCTGTAATTCTTAGCACTTGGGAGGTGCAGGATCAGGACATCGAGGCCAGCCTCAGCTATACAGCAAGGCCATCTTGGGCTACATGAGACCTTATTTCAAAAAACAAAAAGAATCCTGACCCCAAGTGTTGGGCATCCTTGGTCACTATGTTGGGTTTGAACCCCATGTCTTCTTTTTTTCTTTTAATTAAATATTTTATTAAAATTTTTGTTTTATGTGTATTGCATGTATTGCCTGCACATATGTAACTGCCATGCAGTGCCCACAGAAGACATAAGTGGGCGTCAGATCCACTGGAACTGGAGGTATGGACAGTTGTCAGCTGCCATGTGGGTACTGGGATTCGAACCCAGGTCTTCTGCAAGAACAGCCAGTGTTCTTAAGCAATGAACCATCTCTCCAGCGCCCTCCACCCCAGGTCTTCTTTTTAGAAGCAGAGTGACACTGGGGTTGTTGCAGGTGCCAGTTTCCTTATCTGAAAAGTAGAAAGTAAAAGTCTTCCCTAAGGAGATGGCTCTGGGAATTAAATGAGATGATGTGTTGGCACCTAGCTCGGCACTGGCAGGAAATGGATTGAGATCAGTCACTCACACGGTGCCACGTGATCCAGAAAGGCTATGAGCTGTCCAGACCCGTCTGTCTTTCTTCAGTCTTTTATTAAATGAACAATATTTTTTAAATGAACATTTATTTGTTTATGTGTATGGATGTTTGTGTACATGCCCCCAGGGGGTGAGTTGGGGAACAACTTGCAGGAGTTCTGTGTAGTTCCTGGGGATGGAACTAAGGTCATCAGGCTTGGTGGCAAGTGCCTTTACCTACTGAGCCATCTCACTGGCCCTTCAATCTACCTCTGCCCCCCTTCCATTCTTAATCTCTAAATAACTACACAATTCTCAGCTTTAGTCTTTTCCTCATGAGCTCTGAGCCTAAGTCCTAGCTTGACACTTAGGTACTTTAGCTGGGCCTCAGTTTTCCCTTCTATCCAGTGGAGGAGTGTCAAGCTAAGGATCAGGTGTGTGATGGGTCTGTGGGCCTTGCCTCCAGTGCTGGGTGCTGGAGACTACCTACTGTACTATGTTGATAAATTCTCCCCAGCTGCTGGGGCCTTGGAAATTGCAGCACCTCAAGGCTGGAGGCTGACTAGGTTGTGGGGACTGAGATAAGAGGCTGTTACCTAACACTTTAGAGCCATCTGGAGGCTGACCATGGTCATGTGACTGCACCTGGCTTTTGTCTGTGGCAACCCTAGAAGGCTGGGTGGTAGTCTCTTGGCCCTGACCTGTGATGACATCAGCCTCACCTCAGCAGGACAGCCCTGCGGGCTCAGCTTTCAGGGGAGGCCCAGGACTAGAGTTCCTGAATGAGAGAGTGACATTGAGAGGGTGGGAGCACAGTTGTATGGGTGCCTCCCTTGTCTGTGAGGACTGTGAACTTTGGACATGGTTTTCATTCTCTTGTGTGGAATTGTGGAAAATCTTGCCTTTGTTTAGCAGCTGGATTCATAGCCTCCATCACGTACATTGGGCAGATTGCTTGGTTCTCTGAGCCTCAATTTCCTGGTCTTTAATAAGAGGGTGGAATTGATAGATGTGGGGGGACTAAGCAACATGATATTTATAGGAAATAGGCAGACGTCATTATTACGGTCTGGGTGAGAAAGGGCTGGCTTGTGTGTATGCCTGTGTACACATGCTGGTGTGCATCTGTACTTGTGAGGAGTCGTCAACAGACTGACTTGATGGCTGTCTAGTGCAGTTGGGGACTTGTGCCCTTACGAGTTCAGTGGCATTTCAACCCTGCCTGCTGCCTGCTCCTTTGTGGCCCCTGGGATTAGCTGCAAAGTTCAGGGTAATTTATTACGCAGAGATGGGAAGCATCCTCAGACCAAGGGGAGAGAGTCTTTAGCTTCTAGAAAGTGTTTGAAGGATCCTTTTCCCCAGTACCATCCAGCAATTTATGTTTCTGTTGCACAGTGTGCAAACACACAACTGTACTTACTAGTTGCATGAGCTTGTGTTGGTGTAAAGATGTTGGAACAAAATGATTTTTATTTTAGGAGCTTAAGTGATTATTCCATTTCATTTTTTTCCCCTTCTTCCCTCCTTCCCTTCCTCGTTCCTCTGTATTGAAATGGAACCTGGGGCCTCACACATGCAAGGCAAGCCTTCTACCACTGAGCCATAGTCCTAGCTCAGGAATTTTCTCTTTTTTTGCCTTTAGTTTATGACATTCTTAAAGGGGGCTTTGAGTCTTTAAAAATCACGCCAAAAGCCAGGTGTGGTGCACTCTGTTAGTCCCAACATTCGGGAGATAGAGGCAGGCGGATCTCTGTGAGATTGAGGCCAGCCTGGTCTACATAGTGAATTCCAGGACAGCTGGGGCTACAGAGAGCTCATGTCTCAACACCCCTTCCCTCAAAGTTCATGTTCATTGTAGTAGAATAGGAACATACTAGATGAGCAAAATAAAACTTGCTTCTAGTTTTTGGTGTAAAGACAGCAGTGTTAACATTCTAGCTCTTTCCAGATGTTTTTAGTGCCCTTATCTGAACCTGTGATTTCTGTGGCTGTGATTCAGCCTGGTTTGGAACTTCCTGATTGTCCTGCCTCAGCTTTGAGAGTGCTGGGATTGGCTTTACAGGTATGTACTACCATGCCTGGCTAAGATAGCATAAACTCAGCTTGGTAACAATCATGTCCGCTTGGCATACAGAACCGAGTACAGTTGGAGTTTGCTAATGCTGCTTTGAGCTTCATAGAATGATGGCTTTTCAGGCCTGGAAAGACAGTATCCTATTTTTCAGATGAGCCTTCTGAGTGCTGGAGCACCCTGGCCAAGCCTGGTCCCTGGGCTGAGATCTGGGCTTTTGACATGGGCTACAAGCAAATAGAGGGTGCTGGGTGGGTAGAAAGGAGGGCTGACTTCTTTAAGCAGTGATGAGATTTTTGGTTTGTTTCCTAAATACTTTACCCAGAGAGACTTAGTTAACTGAGGAAATACTAATGATCATGTTAATTAGTCTAATTAGACATATAGTTCCTGTCAAGGTTCTTTTCTAGTGTAGCTTCAATTAACTGTTTCTTCCTGTATCTGGGGAGAACAAAAGCAGACCTGGCAGAGAACCTCTGCTGGCCATCCCTGGGCCCTGGGCCTGTGCAGTGCTTTTCACAGGAGTGGCTGTCCATGGCTTGTATCGAAGCACTCTTGAAGTGGCTCCTCTGCTATAAATGAAGCATGGAGACTGGGGAATGTGGCTCAGTTGGTAAAGTGCTTGCCTAGCATTGCTGAAGCCCTGGGTTCAATCCCCAGGACTGCATGAAGTAGGTGTGGTGGCATACCCCTGTAAACCAAGTAGGAAGTGCAGGCAGGAGGATCAGAAGTTCAAGGTCATCCTCTGCTATATAGGAAGTTTGTGGCAGCCTGAGCTACATGAGACCCTGTCTCAAAGAAAAGAAAAGAAGTCTAGGACTACAATAACAAAACAGCTGGGCATGCTAACATTCACCTGTAATTCCACCTATTTTGACAGTTGAGGCAGGAGGATTGCAAGTTCAAGGCCAGCCTGGGCTATATAATGAGACTTTGTCTCAGAAGTAGAAAGGATCAAGGGTGTAGCACAGGGGTAGAGTGCTTGCCTCGCATGTGTGAGGCCCAGAGTTCAGTCCCCAGCACCACAGAATCAAGAGCAGTAAATGAGGAAAGCCCTGCAGCCTCTCTTAAACTTTGCTGTGTTAAGTTTCATGTAGTCTTATCTCTTAAGATAGCTCCTGGTTAAGGGAGGAGAGTTGCACCTTTCAGAGAAATTATTTTCTCATGCTAGGAACATTTCTGTATCTAAAAATGCCTTTGTGGTTTAAATTCAGAATGTCTCTTTTCTTAAATTACTTTCAGTGGAACTGGAAGCCTTGATTTCCTTGGTAATGAGGGGCTCTAGAAGAAACATAATGTGTAAATGACTTGGTCAGATCGATTTCTGCGTGGGGACAAACGTTGTCATCTGACAGTTGAAAAGTGGTTCTCTGGCTGCCCTCAGAGGACCCATGTGACTATTTTAGGGGGTGGAGGATGGCTGCTTAAAGTCAGTGGCTGTCGATTGCCTGTGAAAGGTTTCCGTGCTTATAACACTGTAGAGTCGAGAGTGTATATATCAAGTATTTAAACCTTTATTTATTTAAAGGTTGAACTTTAAACAGTTTGTGTTACAAAAAAAGCATTGTATTTCTAATGACATTTGAAATGGTTCAGTGGGTTTTTTCCCCACTGAAGGGTTCAGAAGGGTTTTTTCCCCTTCTTTCCCCTCAATTTTCTATTAATCATCGGTCTTGAATGAGCCAAATGGCATTGAGATTTTAGTTCCTTCTCTCCCCACCAGGTCTTTATCACAGGGCCTGGCTGACAGATAAAACCAGGAAGACAGGCCTTTGAGCTTCCTGTCCTTCATCCTTGGCAGTACCTTGAAACATCTGTGGGGGCCTTTGTTATGAAAAGCAGCCAGCACCAGGCTGGGCCAAGAGAGCCCCTTTCCACTCAGCATTCCACACTGAGGATTTGGGGAACCGTCCTACATGTAGATGAGACAAGCTGTAAATCATCTGAGGCAGACTCCCGCTTCCGGCACAGCTAGACCTGAGTTTTGCCTGAGGTTGGAAAATGAGTGACACTTGGTCTCCCACATGACCAATTTTTGTCTCAGTGTTTCTGGTAGGGTGTGGTGGCATACCATATCATGTCCTAGACCTGGCATGGCAGGTTGTCAAGATAAAATTGCATCCTTGGAGTATAAATCATAAACAGGACCAACCTAGGTCCAGATGACAGAGGGAGCCCCATGCCAAGCAGAACAGGATCTTTAAAGTCACAAAATGTACACCCCCTCTTTGTTTTGTATTTTTAAATGTTTTTCTTTTTAAAATTGTTTCGGGTTCATTTATTATTTTATGTGTATGAGTGTTTTGGCTCCATGTATGTAAGTGTGCCATGTTATGTAATACCTACGGAGGCCAAAGAGGGCGTCAGATCCCCTGGGACTAGAGTTACAAATGGTTGTTAGTTGCCATGTGGGTGCTGGGAACTGAACTGAACCCTGGTCCTCTGCAAGAGCAGTCAGTGGTCTTGACCACTGAGCCATCTCTCCAGCCCCTGTATTTTTCTTGATATGGAATATATTTTTGCTTTGCTTAACTTTTTAACATGGAAATACAGATTTTGTTAGGTTATTATTTTTTTTAATACATCTACATTGGTTTTTTACAGTGTTGACATGTGAATGTCCCTCATGGTGCTACTGACAATGGAAACAATATGGAAAGGGGCTGTGGTGGGCAGGTGCCTGGGTGAGACACTGTGGGTGAGGCAGTGGTGACCATGGGTCACTTAGGGCCCCCACATAGCTGTAGCACAGCTAGGATTTGACGTGAACCACACTATCACAGCTTCATGGTCACCAAGGGACTAACTAGGCTCATGAAACCAAATGCTGGTCCTCAGCTAATAAAGGAGGTGTAGTGAATGCCAGAGGTGTGGTTTTTATTTTTCTGTTTCTTACTCCAGAGATCCCAGGCCAAGCAATCAGCGGATCAACAAGCACGTTAACAATGACGTGAACCTACGCATCCAGAACCTGAGCATTCTAGTGAGGAACATCAAGACCTACTACCAGGTGAGGCTGCTCTGCTATCCCCCAGATTCTAGTATATGCAGTGGGGCCCCTCAAGTGGGTTCCTGTGACGGCAGTGGGGCTCCTCCAGTGAGTTCCTGTGTTTACCATGGGGCCCCTCCAGTGGGTTCCCATAGAGAGCCAGGAGGAAGTGGTGTGTGGCTCAGGTACCTGTCTGCTGACCCTTGTAGCTTTTGCTTTGGTCCTTCTGAGGGACATCAGGTCAGGGGGAGGTCTTGCTTTGGGGATTTTTTTCATTCCCGATGTCAGGCGGCAGGGCCTTGGTTTGCAGCTGTGTCTCTGTGTTCGCAGGGACTCTTTGAAAGGGGCTTATGATCCATGCCTCAGTGACTTTTGTGCAGGAGCCACTGGAGTGCTGAGGGAGAGAAAACCCCAGAAGGCTCCAGGAACCAAGAATGGAACCAGTGTGCCTCTAGGCCAGCAGGAACCTGGGCTTGTGGAGTGGAGAATCCACTTTCCATGTGTTCACCATGTCTGATCAGAGTGTGCTGGGTGGGTGAGGCCAGCAGGCCTGGGGAAGGGCAGCTGCGAATCTGATGGTGTGTGTGAGCTCTGCATGGCCAGCGTGGGTGGGAAGTGGACTGTACTTGGGGACCTCAGACCCTGGTTTTTAAAGCTTTTGCTTAGCAGTGAGATTGCCTCCTGCTATATGGTATCTCCTGAGATAAAACTGAGCAGGATGTGAGCATGAGGGAGGCAAAGTTAGGATTCAGAGTGGGCTTCTAAGATGCAGGTGCATCTCCTGAAGTGTGCTGGGGGCAGCATCTCTGGTGTGGCTGGCCTGTGGTACCGTCTCTAAGGAGGCAAGAAGGCCGCTTGTGAAGTCTCTGCAGCTCCAGGAGAGTCACATGGAACGGTCACACTCATTAAAGCTCTTGGGTCATGAAGAAGCTGTCTTTGGATACAGTTGGCCCAGTGGATTTCCTACCTCAGCAGCTGTGAGGATCCAGGTCTGTACTGGGCCAAAGACCTCAACATCTGCTCAAGACAGATCTCCAAGGAGGCAAGAAGGCCGCTTGTGAAGTCTCTGCAGCTCCAGGAGAGTCACGTGGAACGGTCACACTCATTAAAGCTCTTGGGTCATGAAGAAGCTGTCTTTGGATACAGTTGGCCCAGTGGATTTCCTACCTCAGCAGCTGTGAGGATCCAGGTCTGTACTGGGCCAAAGACCTCAACATCTGCTCAAGACAGTGTCTGAGGCAGTTGCTGCTGTTGGGGTGCTGCGTTGAGTTCCAGGTGGGAAACTGTCATATGAAGAAAGTGCTGGGTATTCAAGTCTTGGGCCTAGAAGGACTTGGAGGTAGAGAAGAGGCCCCTGTGTTCTTGTTCTCCCTCTGCCCTCTTAGCATTTTGAGGGCGTGGATGGCATTTGTGGGCTGCGTTAGCCCTAGCTCAGAGCAAAATAAGCCCTGTTGCAGCAGCCCAGAGTCTCCTAGTCCTGTCTGCCTGGAGAGAGCTGTGAGGTGTATGCATTGATGGCCGACGTGCCTCCTGTGTGCAATGTTTTGTGTATTTTCTCCTTCTGATTTAAGACAAACAACTTCATTTCTCCTGTTAGAAGTAATACTTACTTTTTATAAACAGCTTGGAAAACAAGTATCGGGAACACAGAGCCACCTGTAAGCCCGCCTGCCCGGCCACCAGAACAATCACTGGCCCTGTTCAGTGCTTCCTCTCAGTTGCCCAGTGAATGGTTTTTGTTTCAGACCATTGTAGGCAGGCCATATGTATAACTGCACATCCTGCCTTTTTTCCCTTCCACCTTAGTGCTGTAGCAGAAATGTGTTCACTTATTTTTGTGAAGGGGTATTCAATGGACATTTTCCCAAAGAACCACTGCCAGCCTCCCTGTTGGAGGGTAGCCCAGTGGTCCGTGCCTGTAGTCACAGCACTTGGGAGGCAGAAGCAGGAGACTTGAGAAGATCTGCACAGGCTGTGTAGGGAGAGACTGTCTCACAAAACCAGTTAACCAAGAAACAGATGTTGTTCCCCGCTTTGACTGGGAGGGGCTCCCTCTGGGGCAGGGCTGGGGTTTTTTGGGAAGATACTTTAAGGTTTACTGCCTCACCCTGTGTCTTGTTTGTCAGGAAGCTGTTCTGTTTCCTGTGGTCCCCTCTTTTCCTATAGCAGAGTGGAGCAGTGACCTTCGGGAAGGATGAAGCTTTTGGGAAGCTTGGGTTGGCCTGTGACAGCCTGTGGGAGCAGAGGGTGCTTGATCTCTTTGGGCGTGTGACATATTGTGGCAGGGATTCTGTTTAGGCCACAGCATATAGAACAGCCTCAGTCCTCCTCCTCACCTGCTGTACTGGGCTCTGCTGAGTGAGGTTGGGACCCTGGAATCTGCATTTGCAAAAGCTCTCCAGCTGCTTAGGTCGTAGGCCAGCACGGTGGTTCTTAAAGTGTGGTCCCAGACAGTAGCATAGGTATTGTGAGACCTTGTTAGAGATGCTGGGTCCATCACTTGTCTACCATGTAAGTTTGGGAGTCTGTTTTCCTTAAGCCCTGATGGATAGTGAAGCGCCCTCCCAGGGAAACAGTGGGTCAGACTATTTCCAGTGGGTCCTTGGAGAGGTGTCTGTCACCAGGCCTCCTGGAGCAGGGACCGTGTTCTCACAGGTGACTCTTCTCTGTCACATATATCTCTCATTCCTCTGGACAGGAAGGCAGGGCCTGACAGCCATCTGATGAGAGACAGGAAAGGATGCAGCTAACTGGAGGTGACCCAGAGGAGCTGTCAGGAAAGGGCAAAGAAAGTGGGAGCCAGATAGGGTGAGAGAGAGAGAGAGAGAGAGAGAGGGAGCGCGCCAGCGCCTAGGTTTATCTGTGTATCAGTGAAGAAATGGCTGGAGGTAGGGATACCAGCTCTAGGACACGCATCCCCAACCAGGACATGGGATAAGAATGTAGAGGGGTCTGGGCCAGTGCCATACTGCCCACCACCTGGCTAGTTTGATTTCAGCCCTATGTCATGGAATGCTTGTTTACTCATTCAGTAATCCTACTTGCTTTCTGGATTATTGTTGAGACAAGGCTGTAGCCCAAGGCTGGTTTCAAGCTATATAGCCCAAGTTGGCCTCAAACTCAAGGTGCTCTGCCTGCCTCTCCCTCCCCAGCACTGGGCTCATATCATAGCCTTGAGCCGCTATACCCAACCCTCAGAATTTATTTTAAGCTAGATTTTGGGTTTATATGTGATGCATTTTGTTCCACTTAGAGCCTTGCGTACATTAAATGTATATTCATTTAAGAGTGAAGCCTAACACAGCAGAAATCTATCCTAGGAAACAAATTATGGATGTGTGTTGTTCCTCCAGGTAGCACATGGTATCCTACCGACTGCCCTGTCCTGGGCTCCTGCAACCTTGTGCCTTCTCCTGTCATTAGTTTGGTGCCATGCTGCTCTGTTCACGTTTTATATTCTTACTCTGTATGTAGGTGTGTACATGCACATGTGCATATGTCTATACACACGTGCATATTGTTTTGTGTGTGCTTTGTTTACATGGGGCGTTGGGCCTTGACCATGCTAGGCATCCTCGCTTCCAACTGAGCTGTCTTCCCATTCCTGCCTCGCAGCATCTTTAGGCCCAGACTTCCATAAATGGTAGCCTGCTGCTTTGTAACTTTGAGTGCATTCAGCCTTCTGAGGCAGTCGTATTAGATAAGCACATGGTGGCTCCTGCAAGTGAGAGGTATCTTGAGAAATGTGCACAGTTTGAAGAATGAAACACTTAAAAATTTGTGTGTGTGTGAGTGTGTATGTGCCACAGCCCCTGTGTGGAGGTCAGAGGACAGCTTGCTGGAGTTGGTTCTCTCCTTTCACCATGTAGTTTCTGGGGATCAAACTCAGGTCATCAGGCTTGGTGGCACATGCCTTTCTTTACCCACGGAGCTACCTCGCTGGCCAGAATGAAACATGTTTGTCAAAAGTCAGAATAGAGCTAAACATGGTAGTATGTACCTGTAATCTCAGCACTTGAAAGATGGAGGCAGGAGGATCAAGAGTTTGGGGCCATCCTTGCCTACATAGGGAATTCAAGAGCAGCCTGGGCTACATGAGACTCATTTTCAATAGAATAGTAGCAATAACAACAAAAAAAAGTATAAAAAGAATAGAAGGAAATGTACATTTCAACATCATTGGTGGGAACAGCATATTAAGCTTGTTCAGCTCTGTTCTCTTTGTATGGTTGAGGGGTATCTCCTTAGCAGACGAAGGGGTGAGTAGGAGCTGTGTAAAGGAACTGACGGTTCAGGAAGCCATAGCTACCGGCACACACAGAGCTTGTTCATGAATAACACATTGTGTTGGCTTCTCTGCTGTTGACTTCAAAGGTTAGAGAGGAGACCTTGTCCTCTGGATTGGGTAGCTTGTGTCTACAGTCTGAGGAAATTAAAGATGATAGTTTCGGTTATAAAAATGTTTCCTCAGTGCAGATGAGGAAATATAAAGGAAATTAAATCTGTTTCCCACATGCCTTACCACCATCAGGGTTCTGGGACTCAGGTGTGCTCTCTCTGGTGTGTTTCATAATTCCCATTGTTTGTCTAGGGCCTGTTTGGGTGTATTATTATTATTATTATCGTTTATGGTACAGTGAGTGTTTTCCCCTTGCCATTAAATATTCATTCATATGAATTTCAGCACTCACATGATTTTTATGTGGCTGTCCTGTCACTGACACTGCCCATATTTCTGTTTCTGAATTATGAACAATGCCACCCTGAACATACTTGGTACATAAATATTTCAGCAAATGCTTTTCATTTCCTGGGGTAAGTTCCTGGCGGGGAGTTCTGGGTCAGAGGGCATGACTACTTGGAGAGTGTTTGCTCCTTTGGCCACAGTTGCCCTATTTATGGGCCTCTCTTTTTTTCTGGATTGCTGTGCCTTTCACGGGCTGTAGCTGGGCCAGTGTTTGGAAGGTGCAGTGTTCTCTGTTGCTACTGAACACTGAAGATTTCTGTGTTCCCACCTCAAG